AAAGGATTGTGACCAGTTTCATTTGCAAATAATTTTTAATGAAGGCTTATATCAAAATGCATGCACTGAATGGTTTTCACTACTTGCTGCTATTTTCCATGGAAGTGGAACTGTACCCCTACATTCAACAGGGTATTTTTTATGTGATTTGTGAATGTAGTACTTACAGAAGAGGAAAAGGTACATCTTTGAATGTTCTTGGTTACAGCTGGACTATAGGCAAGTAAGAGTCTAGACCTAGAAACCCCATAGAAGAATGTTTGTCTTATAATTGTTAAATCATTAGAGGTGAGCTCATCATTAATGTTAGTTGTGTGAAATCAAAGGGAGTTGGTATGGATGAATAAGAATGTCACTGGACATATGCTTTTAATCACTTTGTGATACTCAATGAACTTTATGAATTATAATATAACTTTTCAGAGACAATTATTCTTTTAAATAGTCCAGGGAGAATCATGATCCCAGCATAGCCTGGCTGTGCTACCATTTCTATAAATCTCTATCCTGTTAGGCTGTTTACTAGTGCCTCTGTCTGTCTGACACCGCATGTTTCAGTTTACTTTCTACTATATAGGTCAGGACTATTCTCAAATGCACTAAAACGTGCATTCTTTCTGTTGGTGGTCTTGGTTAACAGTATTACCAAGGTAACAAGTTGTATTTAATTATAATCTATCAGGGTGCCTTTAAGAGGAGCAACATATCCATAACTAGACTAACGAGATACCCTTACTTCCTTCCTTATGTTAAGACAAACAGTCAAATTTTTCTAAACAAAATATGAAAAACTACACAATATTTTAAGTTGGAAAATGACAACAACTGCCTTTTTCATTCATCCACTAAGGCCATCTTCAATACCATTTCTTAGCTCTGAAAGTTGAAAGGAATCCGTTGTGAAGCCTCTGCCCAATGCCATGGAAAAATAAGCATTGTCAGGCTCCAGAATTAGCTTGGAAACAGATATTGAGACACATCTGTACCCAGGATGGACAATTCTGTTCTCTCCAGGTTGAGAAAAATAAAACTTTATTTCAAACGCTATACTTCCCTCTATGGAGTGTCTTCTGACCATCCTGTGACCTTGCAAGAGGACCTATTTCAGTGGTGCTGAACTTTTTACCTTGTTCATCTCCATAACTCATTTGGTGTTTGTCTGTGCCTCAGTGGGATCCTTTTGTCTGAGCAGACATGGTGACAAGGTGGCAGGTTCTTATTATCATAACCCACTTATCACAAAGATGGAAGTAAATTCTCCATAGCCCAGGGACTGCTCAGCTATTTCTTTCTTGTAGTCTTTAATTAAAATTTCCCAAATTAATTTCAGGTCCTCACGTTAACTTAAAGAGAACAAGGCTTTGCACAATGGCAACGGGTGCAAGGAGACATTTAACAGATATCTTCAGATGATAAAAAATATCCAGTTAAATTTCAGTATGTTTATTGCAAAGAAAATGTGGCAAAATTCATGTCCCCCCACCCCCCAACATTTCTTGCCTCTTCAATGTTTCCCCAGCTGCAAATGTAAAACTGGACAATTATGATATTTGACTCAGGGAGTGCCATTGTGACTTTTTCTTTTAAATGCATTGTAGAGAAGCAGTAGTGGGAGTTTATGAGGTGATAAATTTATTGAAGGATGGGCAGTAGGGTTTTACAGCCAGGGTAGAAAAGGTCAAAGCAGTAAGGTAAAGAGTTCAAGTCTAAACTTAATGGCTTGTGAAGGGACTATTGCTAGACAGCTTTTTAGTCAGAAGGAAAAAAAATGAAAAATAATCCTTTATAATTTCTGTAGCATCAAGGAATGGAGTGGGGGGTGGTATCTGTGGGGTAATGTGTTTAAAAGAAATAATCTTTGCTTTGTACTTTTTAGTCTGGTACAAAAACCCACTGGGGGAAGATTAGAGTATTTGAATTTGCTGAATCATTAAATTGTCATATCCCAATGGATACAAACTTTTAGGTTGACTTCTCTTTATTCTTGTTCCTTTGGAGGCCTGCTGGTAAGAGGGAGGGAGGGAGGCTGACTCATTCACCAGCCATCCATCAGGACAGAGGTAAATGTGGTGGGTGGGCCAAGGCGAATTAAGAAAATGAATTGAGATCTAAGGGGTGGTACCAGTGTTTGGAAGTGGCTCACTTGCGTGGTTCTTGCATCCCAGGCCCTAGAGGGGGCAGTAGCAGGGACCAAAAAGAAAGGAAAAGGAACAAGTCAAATGTAAAATAGAGAGAAGAGCTGAAAAAAGAGACTCTGGAGGAGAAGCAGGGACTGACAGGAATGAAGTACAGAGGGAAGGAGATGCAGGAAGCTTTTTTCAGTTTAAATCTGACCTCAGCATCCTTTTTTGGTGTTAAATTACCAGGTGGAGAAAAAAAGTTTTACTTTCCAACTCTTCTTATATACATATAAAAACCAGCAAAATGTTCATGCAGTTTACATATTTGATATTATTGTACACTATAATAAATAAAGCTCTTTGCTTGAATGAATGTAAAATAAAAATTAACTGAAGCTTTTCTTTTTCCTAGTATTTTTCAGTTTTGCACAGTCTCTGCGTAACTGGGTTCTGTAGGAACAAGAGGCAGAAGTATCCTATTAATATATGAAGGCTGTGGGGGCACAGGAAGCAGGTGGTCTAGGATTTTGATAAGCAGGATCTGTTCCATTTAGGTTTGGGGCCCATTTCTGAGATTCATATTTTTCACAGAATAATTCAGACTTATAAGCGTGTGTCTCCTTGCCAAGCAGAACTTCTGGGCTTTATATATATATTTGCATAATATTAACTTTAATTATATTCTGGCAATATATGTAAACACCAAACATTTGTTTGATTCTTTTATTTGGGGTGGGAGGGAGCAAGGTTTTCCCTGACTAGATTCGGGGAGCAGTTCACATTTTGTTAGTGCACTGCCTGCACGCACTCAGGAATGTGTGTAGTACCAAGACATAGATACAGATGTTATATTTCCACAACCATTTTCAAGGGCATCTCCCTGCTGCTGCCTTTTTCCCCCCACCCTTAAAGGGTAGCTCACGTGGTTTCTTTTTTTCTGAATTTTCCAGGCTTCCCCACTGCAGGTAACACATCTAATACTCCAGTTTGTATCACCGTCTTCGTCTTTTTGCTTAAACTGAGCGGGAGGTGAAAAAGTCAGGTGCAGTATTCAGAGAGGAAAGAATGCCAGTATCTGTTGTGTGATGCTTTTATTTCTGAGAGTAAAGCCGCATGTATTTAACTTTAAAAGTCACTCCGGACAAACATTTGAGATTCATACTGAGAGGAGCTCAGGGCATAGGACTCCCAACCAGCCTCTTTTGGATGCACTGTTTTTCTAACTGTGGTGACAAGAGACCTCAGGGACTTCTGTCTTCAGCAGACTCTCTATTTAGTTTCTGTTTACTTAGAGGGAATAGCCTAAGGGGCTACTGGAGAGAAAACATCTGTGGGAGATAATCTATAGAGTTATCTATCTATCACTCTTGTCGACCCTGTCTCCCTTGAGAGCAAGCTGAGAGACTTGTAATAAAAAGGCATCGCTGAAGAGGCTTTAGGGACAAATAAAGAGACATGTTAAGGGCCAGATGAAAATGGATAGAAGACATTATTAAAGCTCAATAGCCGTCTTATCAAAATCCAATAGGATAGACATTTGGCAAAAGGTTTTAAATTTATTCTTTGACTTTCTGGAGAGCTTGAATTTATCCATTAACAAGAATGTACTACACAGGAGTAGGAGATAGTATCAGCTTTAAAAGAGTTGGATTCAATCTGGTATCTTATAAAACAAAATTTCTTTTGTCCTGTTTTAGTTCACTTTATTTTTATATTGCAAAATGTAACATGCGCTTAATATAGTGTGGATGGGAAGAAAATATAAACTAAGAGTAACCTTTTCCTCAAAGTAGCTGAATTTATATTTTTTTCTAAATAATGTTGCAATGCTCAAGACTATCAAAAGCTGCATGAGCTTAGAAACCTTTGTCTACTGAGGTAAAAAGTGTGATATTGTAATGGAAAGCTTTTTAGTTTAATAAAATTAAAAATGAACAAAGTTTTGTTGCTACAAACATTCACCAGAACTTGTCCATAAATCTCTCCAGGTTTATTATGATGTACAAAATGCTACAGGTCACAGAAACCATCTGATACTTTAAAAACACATTGTTCCAACAGGATGATTGATTGATAATTATGATAATTTGTGAAATGATTATTTGGGTATTATAACCATAGCTTGTCCCACTGGGTTGCTGTGAAGACATTTTCTATATCATGGGCCATCAGAAATGGCCCCTGGTAACAAGGGATATGGAAAGGTCTCGTCGGTCTCTCCCAACGGGATTTCTAGGACTGATGAATGATGACCCAGAGGAGTAAGAAATCAGACTTCAATAAGCAGTCAGGAAGGTAGTTAGAGAAGAGCAAGGGAACTGTTAACTGTCTTTTGTGGAGCAATTACTAGCTCAGCCATACAGCCTGAGGCCTAAGCAGGGTCTGTCATAATACTAGATATACAGAGGGAGATTGACTTCCAGATTTTAACACAAGCTGTAGAAAGTCCATGGATTCACAGCATTGCATATCACACTCCTGTGCAATATGGGACACTTTGTATTCATATTTTTAGAAAGAAAATCTTATCATGACATATTGATGCACTGAAACTGTTAGTATGTCTTCTAAAAAATCCTAGCATTTCAGTGACTTTACTTTTAACTTAGACTTCCATAAATGGAAGCCATTAATGCAAATGTCTGGAGATAAATATGAGCTGCTAGAAAAGCCTTTACACTCTCATGCAGCCCCTACTGACCAGAGAGTGAATTGAACAATGTCTTAGCAATGATTCTTGTGTGCATTTATATGTACCTGATTTTTTACAAAATTGTCTATCTGTTCATAAAATGTATTAATCCAGCAGTAGTTTCAAGCCAGTTCCAGAAAGTGACCTAACTAGACCTTCATGATGCTTCACA